TAGTAGTAGTAGTAGTAGTAGTAGTAGTAGTAGTAGTAGTAGTAGTAGTAGTAGTAGTAGTAGTAGTAGTAGTAGTAGTAGTAGTAGTAGTAGTAGTAGTAGTAGTAGTAGTAGTAGTAGTAGTAGTAGTAGTAGTAGTAGTAGTAGTAGTAGTAGTAGTAGTAGTAGTAGTAGTAGTAGTAATAATAATAATAATAAAGAAAGAGAAGAAGAAGAAGATGATGAGAACTTTGAGATGGAATATTAATGTAACGATTAAACAATGATAATAACAAATGTCAAGGTTAGAGGTTCCACTAATGGTATATCAAACAAGTATAGTATAAACTCTTATTATTGAATTGGAAACCACACACAAAGGAGGTTCCAATCAGATTATATATTGTTAACATGATTACATTAGTCATCTTATTCAATTAATGCTAATACTTGTAAATCTCGTCAAGCATTCATGATTATAACTTATGTTAACAACAAATCAAGTTCCTTTCATAGCTCAGGTGTCGGTTATACCATACATTATGGGCTATGAAAGTGCCAAGCATTTGTTGTACCAAGTGTTATACAACATAAATCAAGATTAGTCATTTAACAAGCAAAGTATTAAAGAGTGAACAAGATAGCAAATATAAAACATGTTAGTATCAAACATTAAAGTCCATATTAAGTTTACATTATACTTATTCTTACACCATTAGTGTAACCTTTTCACCTTGACATAATTAACTTAGCTAGACATAATGAAAGAAAGCAAAATAGATAAACAAAATAAGAACATAAAAGTTAACTAAGTAAAGGAAAGGAAATGAAAGGCATAAACTTAATATTAATGAAAACAAAGCATAAAAAATACAAAGAGAGAAAGGAAGAGCATGATCTTGATCTGGAAATCAAGATGCCTAAATGCATGGCAAATGCCTCCTTTTATAGGCCAAAAATGGGAACTATTGATTTGATGACTAATTGATAAGTGGGTGACCAACTTTTGACTTGGTGACAATCCTTATCTTCTCTTGTCTGCCCAAAACGTCATTGATAACGTCAAAATTGGAGCCAGTTGTAAACATGAAAGTTGTAGGCAATTGTCTCAGCTTTCTTGTGTAAAAATTTCAGCTCATTTGGACTTCTAGAACTCCAGATATGGCCAAAATACCGAATAGTGCTCGGGCTGGAAGACAGATTCGGGCTTCTTTGTTGTTGCTACAATTTGGACTTGATAATGGCCTTTTTAGATCTTGGGCTCCATATGAAAGTTGTAGGCCTATGTCTTACCTTTCCATCCATATAAATTGGACCTAAATCTGAGATCTGTAGCTCCAGATATGACCCAATTACCGAACAGTGTTCCGGTTTGGATTGCACCGACATCTCTTTTCTAAGTTTGGCCATCTCTTTATCCTTGCAATTTAAGTTCTTCAAGTCATCAATCAATCCTTTCATTTATGTGATAGGCCTGCATTAAAAATAGACATTTACCATAAATTATAGGTATCTTATATTATTAGATACATTATTATAAAACATATTTTAGTTAAGGAGTTATTGATACTTCAAGTGCAAAATGATGATATAAAACCATGATAAAAATGCACTTTTAAGTACTAATCACACCCCCCAACCAGCTTATTACTAGTCCCTAGTAATCAAAGCGTTAAAATAGAAAACAAATTTGCAAATTTCACAAAGCAAGGTATTCATCATTTAACTTCCATTAGTCTATCCAGATAAACAAACTCTCATTAAATTTATATATCTGCTCAATACCTCTTAACAAGATATTAATAAACCTTTCTTTTGTGCTCAATGTATCAACACATAATTATGGGGCTTTTCTTGGAAGAAAACAAAATTTTTGTTCTAATGTTTAAGGTTAACTTCCTTGGGTTGGGATTACTATTTTTGTCTTTTTTTTTTTTTTTAACTCTATATACATATACTTTAAAAACATCATGCATCTTTAACCCATGTAATGAGCTTTCAGCTAATGACTCCCAGACCAGTTGGTCTTAGGGCATTAGGTGTTAAGACACCCCTACGAGCTTAGTAACTCGGGTCGCAGATACTGATATGTAGATAGTGCAATGTTTGATTCCCTTAAGCTTTTCTCCTCAACCCATGTAACAAGCGTTGGGCCAATAGCTCCCAAGTCAGTTGACTTTAGGGTATTAGGTGTTAAAACACCCCTTCGGGCTTAATTGCTTAGGTTAAGGAGGCTACGAAACCAAACTTATCTACATTTTTATTATTATCATTTTTTTCTTCTTTTTTGTTTTTTTGTTTTTTTTCTTTTTTTTTAATTATATACAATCCCTTTCCCTTAGTTGTTACCTTTAACAAAAGAACATAAATAATGTAATAATCCAATATACAACCCACAATTATATGTTAAAGTGTGTGTGTAAATTAAGGTTTAAGAATACATGTTAAATAAGTATATAAGCAGAATTAAGTGATAACAATGCGAAAGGTTGTAAACCTGAATATTTCAAGAAGTATTATGATAGACCTTATTAAGAATGGTTACTAAGATGCGTCTCAAGAGTCATAAAAGTTCTCTTTACTCTGCC